TCTTCATTCCATTATTATCAAAGAAACAGGGCCTCACCATTTTCACTTATTTGTAGTTACGTCTTTCTCCAGCTCTTTACTTTTTTCCCTTACAAGCTCACTCCTTGTTTTTATATATATGACATAAAAGCAGAAGCAGCTTCCGAAGAATTTATTTGCTTGTGTCAACGTACGAAATAACCTAGGAAACAGAAATTTGGTATATAAAATGCTGTCAAAATATTAGAACACGTTCCTGAAAAGGATTTAAATATTGAAGAAAGTAGAAATAGTAGGAACGAGGAGCCATCTTCAGTCATACTTCTTCTCCTCCAAGCAAAAGATATTCTTCACCTCCAAGCAAAACTTGGGCGAATATTTAATTCTGGTTGAAAGTATTTACAGTCAAAGACTTACTAATACACTGCAAGAGTTTGTATGGTGTTTATTATTTTCATCTTATCATTGTTAAATATGAAATCTTTAAATTATAATTCATAATATGGAGAGCTCGTAAATCTATGAAAAGAGAAAATTTGAGTTCTTTCAAAATAATAAATATCAGTCTTAAATTATTTATCACAATGAGCAAGTACACAGAATATAAGAAGGGAAAAATGGAAGGGGAGCTTTTTATATGTAGCCCTATTTGGTGGAATTTAAAATTAGATTTCTAGTAGATTTTGATAATTATTAAAGTTAATTAATGAATTTCGTTACGAAAATGAAGGCGTCTCTTGAATTATCAAAAAATGAATTATTATTTATATGAAAATCTCATAATATTTTTCAGAAAAAAAATTCTGCAATATATATCAATTTATGTTTAGCTCCCATTATTAAACATGACCTGGTGTAAAAAGCATAGCTACACTTTGAAACTACCGGAAATTAATAAACTCATAAGTCACTTTCAGAATATAAGCAAAAAAAATGAAATTATTAGTAATTTATTGTGTGTCTTCGTCTCTTCCTCATAAATCGCTGTCGTCGAGCCATCATTTAAGACTTCAATTGGAATAGACTCGGTCAATCAGATATAATGCAAAAAATAAACGTGGTAAATTTCACAAAATTGTTCTTAGACTGACTTAATTAATTACAAGAACAGAGTTAATAATAAATAAAACTTACTTTCCATTTGCAAATGAATAAGCAACGTGTTACAGTTAAAAAATAGAATAATGCTGAATGTACATTCCGTGGATTATATCATAGTGTACGTTGTGTGTAAATTCAAAAAGTTTGTTGTTTTTAAAAACTGTTCAATCATGTACAGACACGTGACACAATGTAAAACAAGATGTACATGTACTATGATTGTAAAAAATAATTGATAGTAAATGTTACGTCATGAGGAGTTCTAAAGTACTAGGTTCACACGTTTCTATCGAATAATTGATCATTGTAATCTATTGTTGAAATTTTGCACGTTGACTATGCTAATTGTTCACGGGTGAACCATTCATCGGCTCAAGCATGAGGAGGCGAGATGCAGGAGGGAGCAAAAACTCATGCGAGCTACACACCAACTCGCACAAGTTGACTCCTTTTTCCTGTTTATCAATTTTCTACCAAAAAAACTTACCGAATTGGGAGCAATTCACGAGCTAGCTCAGTTCATCCACCAAGGACAATCTCATGAGACAAGTTGAGCCCAACTTCCTTGAAGCGAGCCAACTCACATAATTAGTCAAGCCCAACAACAAACTAGTCCAGCCCGACGGTTCAAATCGACCCATTATTATCCCTACTAATGAATCTTTTTTCAAGCTGACGTGAAAAGTTGCGTCAGCATGTTACAAAGACATGTCAAATAACATAAAATATTTGGAAAAGATTGGGCATTTTAGACCGGAAACTATATATTGGATTTTTTTTTATTCAAATTTGTTTTGTATAATAAATAAAAGGGAAAAAGGGACGTAAATGAAGGGACTGAATTAGTGAAATATTCGTGCAAGGAAAATCAAGGTGCAAAGAATTAAAGAAAAATCATACTTCCTTCTTCGGTCTAGCATCAACTTGGCATGTGCACTAGTACGAAACAAAGAATTTAAATGAAAACCTTAAAAACAAAATTTTTAGACTTTACTAAATTATGAAAAAATGAACTCGCGAGATTTTATTGGTGTAAGATAATAAAAAACGATGAATTAATCATTTATTTATAAATGTTTACATGAAAACTTAGTTATAGTAATTGAAAAGAATTTGAAATAAACTAATTGGCAAAAATAATACTAGAACTTTAAAAACAGTTTTCAAGTTGTAAACGAACTCGGATGGCTAAAATTCATAAATATCACAGTAAAGCGATGAGTTCTACTCATCTCGTCATTCTTTTTTCAAATTGATATTGTTGATACAAATTGGAGCTCGAACGTCACACCTGCACTACTACATTTTTCCCTTTTCGATCTAATTCTTTTTCAAACTATTCAACGACTTGTTCTACATTAGTCCCTTCCACCGAGTTATAATTCGGATAAAGAAGCTCATCATCTTCATAAAACTCGTACAAATATGCCACATGGAACATACTAGTAATACCCATAGAAGCTGACAAATCAATAATGTGTGCATTGTTGTTAATTTGCTTAAGTACTTTGAAAGGTTCGTTCTTTCTCGATTTCAACTTGTTGTAAATACTAACGGAAAATCTCTCATTTCTCAGAAACACCATCACTAAATTTCCTTTCTGAAATTGTTTATCCCATTGATGTGAATCTATCACTGCCTTATACCTTTCATTAGTCTTCTCCAACTTCTGTTTTTACTTCATTATGAACTACTAGCACCTTTTGTGTCAAATGTTCAACAGCAACACTTTTACTATTACCCTTTGGCAATTTCATCAAATCCACTACATGATAAGAAACCTTCGTATACACAATAGCAAACGGAGACCTACCTGTAGCGGTATAAATTGCGTTGTTGTATGCAAACTCCACGTGAGACAGTGCAAGATCCCACCGTTTAAGTTTATCTTCAAAAGCACTTCGAATTATATTTCCAAGGATACAAATTGAAATGGTTTATGAGAGATATTGTGCTAGCACTGTTGTTTTTGTTTACAATAATGGTTGAATAGATCAAGACTTTGTAGGTGTTATGCCCTAAATCCAATCAATTTTGGACATAAATACTTTGAATATATAT